ATCTTGTTTACCAAATCGTTCCCGGCCAAAGAAACTTGCATATTTTTTCTTCGGGAGTCCATATGTGAGATCTAGACGCGTATGAACGAAGATTTTACAAGGAAAGGGTGACACAGGGAGTGGAAATATGGCTGTAAAATTTCAACTTCCAGGATTTCCCGGTTACTGAGTTGAAAGTGTTAAAACTGCACTCGCTTCAGAACACACTCGGACGATCTCTCGCCAATTTTTTTTTGTCCGACAATATGCATTTCCGCTTACGGCAAAAACTCGTAAAAATGCAAAACTGCATCCGACCGCGCTCTGCTATTTGCCGCACTCTGCAAATGCACATGCATTTTTCAGAGAATCTTTTGCAGATATACGTGTATTTATCCTTTCACACTTATAATTCCATGTTTCTGATCGTAGTACTGCAACCGGGTGTTTACGTTCGTTTGCATCGAAAAGTGAACAGCATAAAAGCTGCCGCTGAAAAGCTCTCAGGTTGCTAAACAGACAAGATCGTAGAAATTTGTAAACTGAGGAGTTATCTGAATTGCCAGTAGTTCTTATCGCTGAAAATGAACTTATTTGTTTGTTCCATTTATTTGGTTTATTTGGCCCGCTATTACTGTTTCATTAGCGTCAAAAAACAAACCTGTTCGAGCCAAGCAAACCCATAAGTACGGATTCAATATGTCCGCTTTCAGGATGGTAATAGAACGATTCGTTATTGAAAGAGGCCTGAATTGTTATGCATACATGACGCTTAATTATCAATTTTGATGGTTTTATCGATGGAAGATCCATGACGTTACTGATGTGGGGGCTACGAATCTGGCTGTCATTCCGGCACAGCCTGTTGTGGCTGTTACCTGTCGCATGCACTGCGCACGCGTATTATGCCTTTCCTCTCACAAAGTTATTAACAAATACATCACATCTATCCGACGTTAGCAAAGTGAGCTGTCTGTCTTAGTTTCAGTTCCTTTCTCTCTCACTACCTTAAATTTTGTCCTCATTTCACAGAACAGGGAATCGTAAAATTTGAAAGCTGATTTCGAATCACTCGTCGCTAATTATTTGATGTATTCGTTTTCAGGAATTTCCAATATATCAATGTCTGTTTCCTTGTCAATAAAACTACCCCGAATAAATTTGCAATGATAAATAGAACGTATTAAAATGTAAAATTAATTTGATTTATAGTTGTTCACCCCAAACTATCTGGTGATTGCTCAAAATTTTTAGTTAGTCGTTTTTTGTTTTTCTACTTATAAAATTTGCCCGAAAATGAATTTTACATTTTGTATCAGTATGTAGCCCCTCTTATAAATGCAGGTAGATTTTATTTTCACAAGGGGAATAAAAGATTACGTTTCTGGAATACGAACTTTCTCGGATTACGTTCGAAAATTACAATCCCTCATGCATTTGTGATGAGATTTTTGCAAAGCATTATCATGAAGCTTTGGCAGTATTTTGATAACTGGGGTGCTTACATTGCTTTTTCGAATGAGTCGAATCCGAAAACTTACTTTTAATTCCAAGCCATCCGTTTCTTCCTCATAGTTAGTGTTCATGCGTGGAAACACATTACGTATCAAAGTGTGACCAAACCTAAACGCAGCTGTTGCCATCTCTTGTGTCATTGTTGCATCACAGTTTTCGTCATATCCTAAAATTCCCATTGCAGTTCAATACTAATTCCGCAAAATACTAGAGTAGCTGAATTTGTACAGGATCCTTGTTTGTGTTATTTAAACGACGTGTGGGTTTAATATGCTTTGTAAAGGAAATATCGCATCTGATTATTTTACTAAAATCCAAAGATATTTGGCAGTAAATATTTATGCGGACTAGATAGAACAAATCAAATCTGCCCAGCTGTACGGTTCTTAAAGGGGTTTGTGCCTTTGGCCGAGCGCATTCCTTTTTGATAAGGTCAGCAAACCAAAAAAGTTACGATATAAACCAAGCTATTTCATCCAGTGGACTGCTCGCGGATGTTTTAGTTGAACAACGGGGCGGTCATGGCTTAAAGCACCTTTTTCGCATTGATTTACATGGTCACATTTCTAGAATTATTGAAACTAATAATAACATTCGCTATTACACACATGCCTGCGGCGGCAACTGTATATTCTGCCCTATGATTCTTTCTGACGGATTGGTGCAATCCTCCGTCACCGGCGCCCGTTTCGCCCCCTTTGCAATCCCGATGATTTGCTTAGTTGCAAGAAAGCAAATATAATTTACGTAATTACGTGCAGAGTCTGCGACATACAGTATGTAGGTCAAACCAAGCGAACTCTACAAACTCGAGCAAGGAAGCATAGATATAACGTCATCCGCAAAACAAACACAGTTCTCTACAGTCACTACCAGTTCCTAGGACATGGACCAGACTCCATGGGCATTGAAATTGTCGAATGTGTTGACAGTTCTACTAATAGCTTACTTCAACGAGAGAAGTTCTGTATAGATACACTTAATACAGCTTATCCTTTCGGACTTAACGATTGCTTCATGGCTTACGGCAACATATCCGAAGGACTGCTCCCATTCATTATGGGCAAAAATCCATACTTCCAAGTACCGTTACCTCGAAAGTGTCGTAGGTACGGAAGACGAAGATGAATGAATAAGCTTGTTAACCAAGAAATTATTGATTTTGCGCTTGCGACATCGATACCCCTCACGTTATTCGACATCTACTTAATAGGCTCTATTGTTCTAACAATAATACTCTTAGAATGCTCCGGTAACGTGTTGCTACTGACGTGCTGCCGTTTGCAAGAGCCTGCATTCTTTAAGGCTTCTTACTTTTTCGACAGAAAACCGCTTTCACACGTACACATCGTGAAGACAATTTCTATTTCACTATTCCTTATCCGGATAATACTTTCGTTGATCTCAAACTGCGTTCTATTTTCTGTGATACTACAGCAAGACGATTGTTTCCAATAGATCCTTTCCCTCGCATCATTGTCAGTTTCAAGTACCAAAATCCTATAAGTTGTCGGATTATGAACTACGCCACCTTTCTTCGACGACTCAATGATAGGCCATTGGAGCTTGCTAACTTACTGTCTTCACCTTGCTAATGTACGCGTTCAGTTTTCTTCTATGAACCTGTTGGTCACATCGTTACCGGTAACTTAGAAATTATCCGTGACTTGCACGGGGCCCTCCTTTGGCACATTCGTAGCTCTCTTCTTAACACAAGGCGACCATCTATGCCACCAGTCGTCGCCGTGCCAGTGGTATTTTATGGCGTCATACCCAGTCTTGGCCCTGCATATGATAGTTTGAGCTACGGCAGGCTCGTCCACAATCGGACTTTTCGACTTCTGCGCGACGGCATCTCGTTTCCTCGATTCGTCGTAACTTTCAAATAAGATCTTTCTCTGGGCCGCCTAATTTGTAACCATATTTCCTTACTACGAGAACTCGATAGAGCCTCCACTGTGCTTCAGTCTTCTTTCATCAACTGCTGCTGCTCTAATCCCTTTGTTTACGCGCCTTTTGGTCACATAGTTACTGGCGATACACGCATTGTAGGTGACCCCTTCATAGAAGAGTATTTCAACCTTGGCTGTAACCACCGCCTACCTAGAAGCATACATCCCACCGAGGTTTTGCAACATTTCAACACAAGCTTCTCGGCATACACACCTGCTTATCAGAAGATATAGCCTAGAACCTGTTCGAGTTCAGTCCTACTATGACGGGTTTTATTCCGTGCTCATCGCTTATTGGAAAGCTTCTACGTCAACGCTCGGCCCATCCATTACATTACTCCTTTTATTCTCCTTAGTCGTTTTGCCTGCCAGCGTCACCGCCTAGTTATTACAGCAGCCTAGTTATTACACCAGTAGACAAGGCACCCAATAACTA